TAATTTATAATTTCAATGAACAATTAAAAACATTTTTTTTCAAATGATTGTTAACTAATGCATTTTTTATTCGTTACTTTTACATCTACGAAGTATAATGAACCTTTATGGTTGGAGAATTTTAACTTTTGAAAATTGCAAGTTAAACATAAAATTTTATATTATTCAAATATTGCTGTAGAAAAATTATTTATTATTTCATTGAATAAATGCGATTGAAAATAATAAAAGTTTCCTGCTACAGGCAGTTGGTTTTCGTGGATAAATATTGTCATCATATAAAATAAATGTATAGGTAGTGCATTTCATTCTTGTAATAATATCATGGGAATCGTAGCCCATTTTTCAAATATTTATTTGTTTATACTGTTTCAAGAACAACTGAAATTAATTTAATATTATTGAAATACTTTAATATTTTTCATACTTTGTTTAAAATCATCGTTGTTTCTCTGATAGTTTAAAATTTCATTCAAGATAAAAAAATATTTAAAATTATAAAATATCAAATTTATTTATCAAACATGTCGATGATAAGTGTAAAATACATTATAATACGGTTAACGCAATTATAAAATTATTTATTCTAATTTCTAAGCATATAAAACTTATGATTAAAAACCATTTGTAAAGATAAAAGGAATCGCAAGATAAATTATTTTAACTCTTTCATTTTTAATACAAGCATGTTTGATATTCTAATTTATATAAATGAATACATTAAATACAATCTAACTAGGCAGCAAAAGTTTCAAGTTTCAATTAAACTATCATGCTCCTAATGAATGTAAACAATGCATGTAATATTACAATTAAAACCATTTGCTGTACAAATAAAAATTATAACTTTTAACTATTTAAGTGTTACTACCCGTTTCTGTTCATATATTATAATTTTACATTACAAGCACAATATAAGCTAATATTGGATTAATTTCTATGTATAACATCACGGATCTTACATAGTTATTAATAAATAATACGCATATCATATACTGCAATCATTCTATTAATAAACGTAAAAAAAATACATACCTCTCATAAAACTATATCAAATTTCTCCATAACATACCGAAAAAAAAAAATTAAAATGTCAAAGTAAGTTAAAAACATAAAATAAACAAAACCATTTGTAATGTTCACATATAATAAAATATATTTCTATATAATTTTTCTTCTTGGACAAATATTTTCACTTTACTTTACTTCAAACGATTGAATTATGAAAAAATGATATATTCTACACTATTTATTATCCAATCTATCTAATAGGTAACTAACAATTTTAACTGAACTATATAGCACGTCGTGTATGTATCTGTACCAAAAGCTGCTTAAATTAAAAGTTATTATATGAGAAAGTGGAATCTTGTATTTCAGTGACATAAGAATTACATTTAAAATCACTCAACAAAATCAACGAATATACCTGCTTTAGATATCATTTATTAATAACTATTTTAATTTTTGCCAACTATACACAATACACGTACGCATTCTTCGTATGAATACATCCGTCTCATCATTGAATTAGGAATACCCATCACTGAGTTTTTCTTTTTTATATTACAACGCATAACTACAGTATGGCTGGGGTGTTATTAAATTAATATACATATTACTCAGAAGAAATAAGCAAACAAAAAAGTATATTGCTGAAAGCAAACGAATGTCTTTAAATGATGTACCTAGTCAAAAGTTATTAGTGATTGTATATAATTTATAACTTATAACTATATCAAGAATAAAAATATTATAAATATTATTTTATTTATATTTAGGTATATGCCAGCATATAGTTTACAATTTGTATTATAATATAATATCCCTGTTGTTACCTATTTTAAAAATAAGTTATGTACAAAGTGCCCTAATATCCTAACTCGAACCACACAACCATAAAATAATAAATTCTAAGAGCAGTTTCGCTATAATAATATGCATGTGTGGTGGTGAACGAAGACAAAATATATTTGCTGGCACACCCTCTTAAAAATATAAATTATATTTTAAATAGTTAATATAGTTTTTTGGTATACCACTTGTACTTGTCAGAAAATATACATTACAAGTTTTATAGATTTAAAAAAAAACAATTATACTTTTACTGAAAAATATATTTTTTAAGTGGTTTTACTTTAAAGACATAGAGTACATTTGTTTCAAATAATAATTGTATGCAATTCATATTGTGGTAGCTGGTAAACCAAAAACAATTTAAGTCTTGTACATAAACCAATCTATTTATGTCACAAACAACCACCGACTTCAAAATATGTCTGCATTTAAACAAATAACAACTTTTCAAGATGAAAAAAAAATGGGAAGATATTAACATTATCATTTTGAACTTCAAAATAAATTAAATTCTAAGACACAATATCATCTCGGTCTACTCGTACATAAATAAGTCCTACAATATATTCTAGTATTTCAGATAACTTAAATATTTCAGCATGTCTTGTAACTTATTAAGTTATTATACCTAGATATAATTTTATCTTTTTTCTTTTAGATTCTGAGCAAAGTAATGAATATATTGACTTTACAATGTTGTGTTTTTATTTAAAACTTGTCAAACATTTTTTGTATCTTTGGTCTTTTTTGGAGATGTACAAATGCTTTGATTTTCTACTGTAGTATATTTTTCAGTAGGAAGCTGAATCTATTTAGTACTTTGGGTAGTCGAAATACAAGAAATCTGAATAGTTTATCAAACTGTAAAAATTGGAAATTTTTAAGCTAAACTACTCTTCTTCAATATTTATTTTGTTTTTTTGATGCTACTCAAAAATGATGACTGTAAATACTTTTAATTTTCACTTAATACTTATATGACAACTTTCCATATACTCATATGATTATGCATTATATGAAACAATGATTTTATATTTTTGAATTCAAATTGAACACATTCATTACATGGTGACCCACATGGCCACCCGACACCTAATCTACACCATAACGGTATACACTTGCAAAACCTTTTTTTTAAAACTGACAAGAATAATATGTTATCAAGGATAAATTTATTTTAAATAATTTAAAGTGCGTTGATTATAATATTACAATATTATATTATTATTCTATGAGTATACTACATAAATGTGTATCAATTGTTTTTAACAGTGAAGAACTAAAATCAGGTACGCCACTACTAACATGTTAACATCCATCCAATAACCTGGTATTTTTAGTTTTTCGTAAAAGGTGATGACCGGAATTCAAATTACTGGTACCACTACTTCTTAATAGTATGCAAAAGCTTTTAAATCTCAATATCAGGGTGATTTTTTAAGCATGCTCGCCCCCATTCTTCTCTTTAATACTAAACTTATTCAAATTTTAGTTTTTAGAATTTTTAAGTTTATTTTAAGACCATATTTTCAAAATCCTGATATTTTTTTGTTGTACTTCATGAGTGTCATGTAGAAATTCAAATTTTTGTTTTTCCAATGCAAACCTTCTTTTTACTGAAAATTATTTTGTGGATGATTTTCTTGAACATTTTAATGTATCTAAATCAAAGTTCTAATGAGTAGTTTCTGAGTTATTAAAATGTTTATACAGAGAAAAATAATCCTTAAAAATGGATTTACTAAAATATAAGTGTATAATACATAATATATTATGTGTAATATTAGATTTAGTATTTATTATACTTAGAGATATTTTTGAAAACGGATCAATTATAATTATTATTAACATTTTAAAATCATATAAGCCCCCATTCCTACTTAAACAATTTGCTATTACCATATCTATGTATTCTATAATACATAAAGTTATATGACTCAGAAAGTATTAGTTCAAATTTTGATTTGGAAACACCAAAATTACCAAAATAATATTTTATGAAAAATTTAAGGTCACAAGGAGAGTATATATTTGAAAAACAGAAGATTTTACTGTGACAGAATCATCTTAAGTGGTACAAAACATCTCGAGTGTTCAAAATTATGTTCTTCATTTGTATATAAAAATTCCAAAAACCAGAATTTGAATAAATGCATAATTTAAGCATACAAATAGGAAGAGCGAGCTCGAAAAATCACCTTGTATGTATAAAAAAAGGTTTCAGATGAAAATATTTACAGAGCCATTTTATGTCATTGCTTACATAATAATAAATTCTCACATTTATCACCAGAGCGCCCAATTTATTATTGGTACCAAAATTATAAATATACATGCTTCTTAGATGTTTTATAACTAAAAATATGCTGTCTGCAATACTGAGGGGTAATCTAGACCAAAAGCACGCCCAAAAAAGGTAATTCTATTATACCGAGGTTAATCGAAAACTACTAATCAAGTAATAAACAAACCTATAGCTTAAAAGTTAGAATTCTTCTCCATAAATTATTATCGATTCTTTTACTAGGTATAGTCGTTAAGCGTATTTTCAAGAAACATAAGATAACGCTGAGTGCCTTCACTGGGAAACTAGAACTTTCTAAGAGTATTAAATCTATTCTTAAAGTTGTAAGACTGTTATTATACTACTCCGATAACGATCATGATATTAACCTCTTGATACATATGTCTATTCAAGAAGTTATTCCCAACCTAACCTAACCACACGATTCAATTGTAAATTTAATTCAATGATGTTTGGCTATTTTATTTCTAATATAATACATTTAAAAATCAAATCGAATTAAATTAAAAAAAATTCGAGTGTGTATGTAGAAAGAAAATATATCCAAGTTATATAGAATTAAAATACATAAATACTAAGTTTTAAATAAAAACCAAATTTAACCTATTGAAAGAACCTGTGAATAAACACTCTGACTTACTGATGTGGGTGGTTAAAATTATATTAAGTTAATTTTTGTGAGATATCTGAGTATGACAAATAACTAACTTTAATTTGCAATCCTGGCATTTATAAGGTATAGATTAACAACTCAACTTCACAATGATCAAGCATTATTCTAAATATTATTCTGCTTAATTTTAATCAAACTTATAATGTCATAATACATTTTTTTCAGATTTTTAAATCAACCATAATGGAAGAAATTCATCACAAAGCTGTATGCAATGAATCTCTGGATGGAAATATACACCTAAAGAGTAACACTTCGATTCTATTAGATACTTGCAATAATAGTTATACTAATCATACGGATTCGTATATAGAACGTGAGTAGAAAAAAAACTTATGACTCATTATATCTTATACAGTTATACATATTCTGTGGATACAAATATGCACGAAAAGTCAAAAATTACAGCAAATTAACATTAATTGTTTAAAAAATAATCAACTTTCTTCAGTTTTTTTTTTTAGAAAATTTGAGATTAACGCAATTTACAAGTTTTTAATATTTACCAGTTCTATTACTCTTTGATATAAGTAAGTCGGTATTATTTTGTAGACAGTAACATCGGTTAGTTTACACTTATAAGTTCTAGGTTACCTAGTATTAGTTATAGGTACCTGATTCGAAGTGTCTATATTTATAAGTCTTTGAAGGCTTAAATATTGCCTGGTTTTTATGTGTACAATGTACATATTATACATACAAATAAAGTGTTGAAATAATTGAAAGTTAAAATTGAGTATCGTGTTATGATATGTCTAGTTGCGACTGGGTTTAAGTGTACCTTACTTCATAGACATTTGTTGATTAATGATTTTTGTGAAAAAAATATTGCTAGAAAATGTATTGTTTATTTGTTTCGTTTAGTCTTGTAATTACCTAATTGATTCTTTTTTGATTTGCTAGACCAGTAGTTTCCAGCCTTTTTTATTTTATCCTCCTTTGTACATTTTCAAAATTTACACACTCTGCCACCATTAATTAGAGTTTAAACCGCATTTTTATTTTATTTTATGGATGCGAAATAACTATATCATATATAATTTATTATCAGTAGATGTCAAACCGAACATTAATTTATTGTTTCTAATTTTACTGATTGTGAAATGGTATAATTAGTTTAACAACAAAATTAAAATTATTTTATCACCACTATATTCTTCCATGAAGTAACTAAATTCACCCCTCCCTCGGTTAGGAATCACTGAGCTAGACTGAAATCATTCGGTAGTGGAATAACTAATGACTGGTTAAAGAGTTATTTGGTATTTTGAGAGGGTAGAGATCGAGAACTGTAGTTAAAAGCGATAGTAGCTAAAATTGGCAAGAAGTGAATTGTTGTTAATTTGATTTAATGATTTTAATTTATGACCAAATACAGACTGGAAATGAGATCTAGGCAAGTTTGTATCAGTTGTTTGCCGTTAGTTTGTTGAACGGTTAAGTTTATTATTTACATTATTTATGTGATTTGTGTTATTGTTGCTATTGTTTAGGTGGGTATACACTATACTGGGTATCGTGTTTGATCGAGGTCGGCTTACAGAATCATCGACGTCCTTTGTAGATGCGGCATCCTTTGTAGTTCACAGGATAATCTACCTTTCAATTTTCACATAATATTATTTTGACAGTTGACTCATTTGCATCACTGCAATCGATGGCTATATGTTTATCCCCGGAGAGAGTGCACTTTGGAGAATATGAATAGTATTTTTTTGAGCGGCCATGATATTGACACTTTAGACAATGTACAATGTTTCTACATATTTTTTGTAACTCTCCTCAAAATTTGGTATGGAGTTTTGATGTTAGACTATGTGTAAATAATATCCTTCTTGCTTATTAATGGCTTAAGATCGACGAAAAACATTAGAATTAAATTCTCCATTGTTTGTCGTTCATTAACGTAGTTACTAGTTACAATTATTTGTATTAGGATATATATTTTTACCAAATTATTTTTAAATTGTATTATTGGAATATGGTAGTTTGTTTTTTTGTACCTTTAAAAACCGGGAATTTTAGTAATTTTCCTAACTTGTTTTTTTAACCTTAGGAACATTATGGACTGAAACCCCTATTTACATTATAAATATTCCTATCTAATCTGCGTTCTGTGTACCGTGCTTGGTCGATATTGGGTTGCATAATCGTTGAAGTTGTATTTAGACCTGTACCTCCTGTAATCCTTTGTAGTTTGTTGGTTAATCTACCTTGCATAAAACACGTTTTATAAACTACCTTACTCAATGAAATTACTGAAACCGGTGCATGGGTATCATCATCTCCACAGTGGATATACATTGAAGAATATGAACACTATTTTTGTTAAGTGGTATTGGTATTGGCAATTTAGACAGTGTTGGTACAATTTTTCTACATTTTTGTGGCTCTGCCTGACATATTTTGGTGTTTGGTTCTATCAAGAGTTGTACAATATATTGTTTAAGATACGAAAAAAATCTCTGGAAGTATGGTTTTCATGTTTTGTTTTTTTTTAACTTTATCGAGTGAACCCTATTTCTTTTATAGATATTTCTATCTAATCTACCGGTTTCGATGGCCGACGGGTGTAGGTTTTGGATTACCACCAGAAAAGTTTTTTTTCTTGGGAATGATAGGCATGCTTTGTGTGGTTTGCCTTTTAAAACCCAAATTGTTTCACGGTATGATTCACATATTTTTATCGTTTGGATTTTTAATTAATTTGTAGACGATTTGAAAAGTAAGTTATCGGACACATTCAAATTAATTGTCTTCTAAATAGAGACAATACGAATAGAGGAAGTTTTGTTTTAGTATTTTGAGCTTCATCAAAGATTTCAGTATTATTAATGATCCCCTTCTTTACTATAACACATTAATCTAATTTAGTTTTATAATAATCGAAATATTTATAAACCATAGTGTTTATTTTAAGTTACTTATTATTATGATTAACTCAAATTGTCCATATTTAAATTTTTTTTAAGTTAATTTCAAAATGAACGGAAACTACAATTTATAATATAGCAATGATATTATTAGTATTATTATAATCTTTGTTTTTTTAACGTAGAATATCAAATATTAAACAAGTGTACCTATACTATGTTTTTAAAGATATACATATATTTAATTGTGGCTTTAATTTTATTCGCATTTATATAAATAAATAACATATAATATTAAAACAAACGTACATTATTACGTAATATAATATAATATAGTGTATATATTTACTTGTTTACTCTTTTTTTATCGTAAAATGTATTTACATAATACTGTTATAAAGCAATTACACTGCGGGCATAATACGCATCCCTAATGTAAAATCGCATAAATTATTTCTATTTATGTACTTTAATATGATACACTATGATATGTGTCATGTGTGTGTCATACTGTCATATGTTCATGATTACAACTAAAACTTGATTGTGTAATTGAATATAGTTGATGGTATAATAAATACTTGAATTGTCGATTTATGTGATAGTTTGGCTAATATTTTTGTTCATATCACTTTTATGATAAATATATAATTTATTATTATATTATACTTGTTTATTTTGAAAAGTAGTCAATTGCCAACACTATTCATTGCCATGTTATGGATGTTTGAACGTTTTTTAAAAATGTATTGAACTGGCATTTTTTTTTTTTTTTTTTAATAAACGATTCAGTTATAATACATAATAGTTATTGTACCACCGTACTATAAACTATTACAATATTGTCTATAAATATGCATAGCACGTGAGTTAAGTTCCAAAGGTAAATCTGAATAAAGCTTATATACCAAGCGGTACACACCTACAGTATATTTAATAAGTACACGAGCAGAAAATACAAATCGTCGACCCCGTCTAAAAGCTTTGTGACGATTTTACATATTTTGTTTGTGTGTGGGTATTATACTTATACTTCCAATGTAAAGAGTGCACTCGCTTGTCGATCGCTGTTCGAATCGGGGGAGTGACATTTTCTGTTATCGGTCTAGAGATTATCTGAAACGGATCCGCCGCCTTAAATATTTCATAGTGCAGATTTCCCGTAGCTGCAAAAGAAAATTGAATATTTTAATAATTTACCAATATATACGACGTATACACTTAGATATTATATAATAATAATAATAATTTTCCATCCGATATTACACTCGACCTGTGAATATTATAGATGCGATTAATTACGTGCCTGTAATTCGAAAACGACGATCGATCGTGCGTCACCCCCCGACGTTCGACGACGGTATGGTGAGGGAAGGGTGGCAATTTCTGAACTTGCTGCTGTTATCATAACTTTTTTAGTTTTTTTTTTTTTCATAGACACTGATCTCAGATTCGGCAAAGTGTCGCGTTACAGGTACCTTTATTAAATCGAAAGACGCACGGTTCGAGCGCGTGTTTCGAGACAAAGTAATATACTTAGGGGTAGGTATTATAAAAAAATAACCCGATCTCATTCGAATTCAACGCCATCAATAATATTTCCGTTTATTAGTGGGGGTGTGATTCATCGACGCGTCGCGGAAAAATCATTCAAAGCCATTCTAGTACTATAATAACTATAAAAGTATATGTAGGTGTTCTGCCTCCGAAGTCTTTCATCCAAAACCATATTTTTTACTCCGTATCCTCTGGTTCATATATTGTGTTCGCATTAGGATCGATTGTTATTTTTTTGAAGTCCCACGCGCAGTATTCTTATTGGACAAACTATTATTATGTTATAATATAATATTACCTAACAATAAAATTCCTGGCGGAGAGTGGACAAGGCTCAAGCATCTATAATAATAACTGCCTGTATATAATAATACGATAAAGGTATACCGCACGTGTAGTTAGTCCTTCCAGCTATGCGTATACCATAATACATGCATGCAGGTATACCAAGGGCGTATCCTAGGTAATAATAGTGCTCAGTTTTGCAAATGGAAAAAAATGTGTAGGTATTATTTAAGCACGCATACCGTACACATAATATTATAACGTTATTGTGTCAGCTATACATTTGTACGAATATAAATCTATTATAATATAATACGTAGAGTAAAACACATTGCAGTGCGCTTTAAAAACGTCGTGTTATGAACATATTCATTAAATCGCAATGCAAACGATTTAATCGGTCCAGCAAATAGTCGTATTGTGTTATGTTATATTTAAAAGGTACACGTTTAATAGGTAGGTGTTAACGGTTAAAAATTGTGCTTTTTTTAATTTTCAAAAGAGTTTGTTTATAATTTTGTTTTTCACGCAAACAATTAACGCTTTAAAATATGTAATTTTACTTTTATCTCCACTACGTAACCCGTTTTTTTTTATCTTTATATTTGATTATATGTCTAGGTATATAATTAAAGTCGTGAACAAAAGTATATTTTTTTCTGTAATTAAAAAATTATTATACAATGCATTATAATCATTATATTATTATAAAACATTTAGTAGAGTAATTGGGTTTAGCTTAACCAGTAGGTAGGTAACTAATTATATTAAAAACAAGAACTGTTTTGGATATATTAATATGATATGTACGTATAGTAAAAAGTGTGTGGTGCGGTAAGGCGCGGTCGTACGCTCAATCAACAGCAACGCTCAGAGCGTACGCACCGGCCGTCGTTGCTAGCCCTCGGATGGGTGACCACCCGAGTTTTCGGCAACACATCTTTGTCTCATACAGACAAACGTGTTTCAACCAACCGTCTCCCCCTCACCCGCACAGTACCAGGCTAATGACCTTAGGAGTTAAGGCTTTAATCAAAATAAATAAATAAATAAAAAGTGTGTGGATATATACCAATAATATTATCTATCTATCTAACTACAATTTTTGGTGCCTGGTTTGACGTGGTGTTTTACCACCCGGGTTTTTAGTGACGAATCCTCGCCTCACATACTCACGTTTTTCTAAACCAACCGCAACCCCGCAACGAAATTTAAATGACCATAGTAACCGATGCTTTAGTTCAATAAAAAAAATAAAAATAAATAACTATCATATTGTGCTTAAATCATAAATACGAAAATATTACCTAAAATGTAACAAATATTCGGTTCGTTTATTATTATTACTCATTGAAATCAAATATTAGTTACAATTTATCATATTTATGTTTTATTACATAATCTGATCTTGTGAACTGTTTTGACTGTATACATAAACCAAATGTAATTAAACTAACAAATATAATGGATTTGAAACAGCTTCATATTATAATATACTACCTGGTTAGGTTAGGCAACCTGTAATTAGTCGTCATAGTTCAATAGAGTGAAGTGCAATATATACATTAAGGTACGCACCTTTTCGGCTTTCATATGTTATTATATCTGGGATAAGGTTAATATGTGTAACCACTGTGCATTTAAGTAATATTTTATAATGCTATAATAACAGTAGGGTATAGCTGGTACTTAAATGTTTACTTGAAGTGATTCGAGTACTCATACAAAACAATTTCACCAAAAAACCCTAATTACCACCCCACTGATCAGCTACAAAATTAACTGATGTAGTTAATCTCTTGGAGTTGAATAGCATTGGATTGAGAGGTAACCGTTAATACCGTCTTATTAATTTAAACTTTAACACGTGGATGGTTCAATAGGTACTAATATGATAATACAGATTTATAATTTAGTACGTGCTTTGGTTACGTTAAGAATTTCAGACGATATAATTTATTAGAATTAGTAACAACGTGAGTATGACGTGATTGGTGATTCACCAAGCATGCGCCCTCTCCACAGCCAACATTTTTCCATTCATAATGAATTTATTCAAATTTTGATGTGAAGACATTTTGGATGAGTTTACTGTGAGTTCATATTTTCAACGACCTAGATCGTTTTGTATATTTCTAGAGGTGTCTTGAGTGTACTAATACAAATTGCTTGCTTTTTTTTAAATGATGACAAACGTTTTTTTCACTGTTAATTGTTAAGCAGACTATTTTTTTTAAATTGTAGATACACTTATATGAAGTAAATAATTTAACCTGAAACGATTTTTAAAGAGTAGTGTTTTTTAGTTATTAAAATATAAATACTAAGCACTAGGTACAGTTTATAATCCTCTAAAATTAATTTAGAAAAATATATAATATATATCTATGACCTATGTGTTATTAAATCTTGTATACTTAATTGTTCTCGCAATAGATTTTTCATCATACAATTTTGATTGATTAATGTTAATGACTATAATTTTCATTTTCAAACCATCTTAGCGCCCTATTTAGGGCCATAGCGCCTAAACCCAATATCCACTATATTATATCATATTATATTTTATCATTTATCATTGATAAAAATAATTTAATGACATAAAAACAACTCCTTCAAATTTCAATTTAGGTGTAACATCATAATTTTAACAGAAAAAGTCATCTGCTTGACAGTAAGTTTTCGAGATAAGAGGGTTATTATTAATTGAAAAAAATAATATACTAACTTAAATAAACTACCACAGGACATTGCAGCTCCTTAAATGATATAAAAATCTAAGTGGGTGTTTGAAATATTAAACGTGTACAATTATAATATGTGAAGGTACCTAAAGCATTAAATATAATTGAAACATTACAATAATATAAGTAACTAATAGTCCTTGCTGTCGAATTTTACTTTAAGATCAATAAAAAAAATAACGATAATAATAATATAAGAACACATTTTACTATTTTAACTAAAACACTCGATATCATTATGATATGTTTTTTTTAAAATTTATTATAGCTACTTTATTATACGATGTGCCCGTAAGCATAATTCTTCTCCTGTCAATGTTCTATGGAACGATTTCTGTCATGGCAGTGGTTGGCAATGCCTTAGTCATATGGATTGTGACGTCCAGCAGACGGATGCATAATGTGACCAACTTGTACATAGCAAACTTGGCATTGGCCGATATCGTTATCGGCCTGTTTTCAATACCGTTTCAAGTAAGTAATTTTATTGAATTTACTTAGCAAATGTACGATCGTTGGTATCGGTGCGTATCATATATATACCGTGATTCACACTGTCTATCTGCAATTTGCATTTGCCATACATCACTGTGATTTGAAAGTAGGTACATACATGATATAGGTATAATACGCTTACACAGAACTCACTGCTGAGCCCAGTCAACAAAGTATAAAATATTTAGGTAAGATGCAGATAAAATTCCGTAAAAAATATCTTAATACACAATATATGTTAAATATTAAAATTACGATTTTTATAAAAATGAATATTATTACCTTTTTAATACTTTTTTATTTATTTTATGATCTGGGCGAAACGAAGAATTTATTGATTTTACAATGACAGTGCTTGTTTGTTTATTTGTGTGTGTGTCTGTGTAAGTATATTTTCCTGTCATCACGTTTTGGAGTTGGAAAATTGATCCAATGTTAAATATTTAGAGTGGTTTCTGATAGAGAATTTTATCCACCTAGTTTGTATTTTGGGTAGTCAAAAATTAATGGAAATTCCGAAAACTGTTCTTTATTATTGGGTAAAACTAGCAAAAAAGCAGAAGGGAAATACGAATATTTATGCAATACATTAATCTTACTTTATTATTGTCACAGCCGTGGTGACATGGCATTTTCAAAAAATACTTATATTAGTATTTTATAGGAATGACAATATAGTTTTAAAAAGTATTTGCGAGCTGTTTTATATACATTTGAAATTTTAAAATTTTTTATAGTTATTTTTTATTTTGTTAATCAAATGTATGTTTATTGGAAAAAAGTTAGAAAACTTAATACACAGTTGTTGCTGTCATAATTTGTTTTCACAGCAATTTAATTCGAGGTTCTTAGTAAGCTTACGTTTTTAATGGATTTAAAAAATGTCAAAAAAACATACACCTAGTCACATTTTTTTATTTACTTTATACAATAATAAGATATAATTTATAACTTATAACTTAGAAGTGTCATTTTGCTTTCAATTGTCAGCGTTGACCAAAATATAAACATTAAAATTTATTTTCAGATAAGGTGTAATAATTAATAAAAACAAAATAATATAATAATATTAGAAATAGTAATACGAGAAATTATAATAATATTTTCTTTATTGTGGAAACAAATTCGTATTACAGTTTTTCTTCTTATATGCATATAATATATTATCAGAAATTTAATTATAATTTGAGAATCTATCTAAAAAAATTTTCTCATAAAATGGAAATATAAATCAATCAAGGCGAGAGATTATTTGAGGATAACTTAATTATATTTATCTAGACGTGATAATATATAATACCTATATAATATATGTGTGTGTTTGTGTGTGTGATTAATTTCAATGAAAATCTCGGATATGCATTTTTTAATTCATTTAAATGAGATAATGGTATGAATGAGCAGCATTCATCTCCAAACCTTGTCGGAATAAATATATCTATATATCTAGATACCGTTCATCGCTGCCCGGTAATTTGGAAGGGGGAGGGGGAAGGGTTAGTTTAGTAATTTTAAATATTATATTTTATGTAATCAACTACCTTACGGTTTGTCTGATTATTATATAATATCGAATATCGTATTCTGTAGAATATAATAGCTGACAATAATATATAACACACAATATCAATGGCAATTAGGTAGGTACTTATATTCCCAGTGGACTGACGTACGTGCATGACGTTGTCGTATGCATTAAAAATATACATAAGGTCATGATCGATTAAATGCATTAATAAATGATTTAATACTGAAATGCTATGGTAACAATTAAGTTTCAGGCGGCCCTGTTGCAACGATGGAATTTACCGGATCTAATGTGTCCCTTCTGTCCGTTCGTACAAGTGCTTTCAGTCAACGTGAGCATTTTTACCCTGACCGCGATCGCAGTTGACCGGCACAGAGCTATTCTCAGTCCGCTCAGGTTAGTGAGAATTGTATCTCCGGGTGAAATAAATAAACGTATACCTAACACGACGACAACCACCGACCACAATAATAATTATTACGTTACGTTCAAATTTATAATATATAAAATAGTTGTTGCGTGTTAACTTACAGTGTTGCAGTTATGATTTATTAATATTATTATTATTATTAGTAGTAGTAGTAGTAGTAGTAGTAGTATTGTCATTATTATTATTATTTCGTTTATTGTTAACAGCGCAATACCGTCGAAATTCCGAGCAAAAATGTCAATAGCCACCATTTGGGCGATAGCTTTTGTACTCGCGACGCCAATGGCTATTGCTCTCAGAGTGCAATTTATCGAATACGGAGATAGAGGTCAGTGGTAATTTTATTTATACGAAGAATTTCCTTTTCTTTTTCAACCTTCCTCAAACAGTTTCTAAATATCCGACATCACGACTGCCTCCGGTTTACGTAGTACACTACGACCTTAACTACAGTAAAAGGATGTATCTCATTATTTAACCATATTATACACCATGTCAATATTATTAATTTGTATTGTGTCAGATAAAAACTGTAGGTTTTTTTATTACAAACCAAAAAAAAAACATAAATCATTGATATAATATTGTTAATTATTTTATCCAACATATTATTATTATTATTTTACATTAACAGTAATTATAAATATATAATTTATAACATTTCGATGGGGAGGTATGTTAATGATTTATATATTTTAATAAGGGACAAATAAAAAAATAAAATTTTAAATATTATAAAAACCTCAACGAAAGTATTATATGCTTTATCAACAAGCAAATTTGTGGTTTAAAAAATATATATATATATCGTCATGCACATAATCCAACAAATAAAACAAAAAATAATTACAATCACCTGTTAAAAATGTCAAATGAAATTATTCAATTCACTTAAAAGTCTATACTAATATAATTAAAATAATTACAAACATACACATCATTAAAGCATTAAAAATTCTGTATAACCTCTTGAGTCTTTCACTTAATGAATTTTCTTAAGTTTTCAACTCAATGCGTGTTACAAAATATACAACTAATAATAAATTACAAAAATAACTATAATGGTATGTTTAAATCAAGGTTTTAAAAAATTAAAAACAATAGCAGCACTAAATCAACTACCATTGTTTTATTTACAGACTTTAAAATATATTGATTTAGTACAAAATAATTCACAACCCTCAATAAATCGCAATAATTCAAACCTTTAATTTGTGTGTAATTTTTATTCAAACACTTAATAAATAAATGTTCTTTAATTTTAATATTTATAAATGTTTATTAATGAGCAATATTATTGTCATTTTTTGATAAATGTTCTTCCTTGTAATCGGAACCAAATATCATAAATACTTATTTATACATATTATATACTTGTATAATGTATATATCATACTGAAATTATTTCTTCGTCTTTTATTAAAAATATGTGCTTTTTTTAAAATTGAAATTCTGATTTTTAAAAAAGAATCCTTGTGAAATAATGCCAGAGGGGACTCGGGTCAAGTGGAATAATTTAGATGTATTTTACTGAATACTATTTTATTTTTAATTTTCGAAAAATGTTTTTAAATTAAATAAACATAATATTATTATTTTTATATTAAAAAAAATCACATCAAAACAATACTAAAATGTTGTAAAATCTCAACTTAATATTGTCACTTATTATAAAATACAATAACATTAAAGCCATCGAGGCACGAAGATCAAAACTGTGGTTGAATAAACGACACCTAGAACCATTTTGGGGACATATTTTTCGGAATGAATGGCATATGTAGTCTATAATATGCAGATGTTGTCCATAAAGCTAATGATCATTTACTGTTCACAGAATGTGACCACGCAAGCATTGAACACAATTTACAATTTACATTGTTAGCTACATTTCAGGGCATGAAATATTTTTTTAATACGACGTATAATTAAACTAACACTCTGGTTGGAATATATTTATATAGGCTAGTCGAGGGCATGCGCACGATTAAGGGGCACATCATGCTATAACCGTGTGGTTATTTCAAGTAGTAAGGACACATAACATACAAAAATATCAAATATTTGATCAATATATTCGTCTTATTATTTTAGTCGTAGATACAGTCGGCTATAATTTTGAAGTTAATGATTTCTTATCATTGTAGTAAAAGTGAAATTCTGAACGAGCTCACTATTGACCGACTTTCAAATAAATTAGTTTATTAATTCACTGTTGTTTTTTTGTTTTTGTTCCGAGAAACACAGTTTAATATGTAATAGAAATTTGGAGGAAAATATTTTCTTTTTATCAGTATAATAGTACATAATATCATAATAAAGCCAATTTTTTTAACAAAACCTATTTAATGTTCTATACACAATGCCATTTAAAAATACGATGATCCATTAATTAATACTAATAGTTTTAATGAAGAGAAAGAATTACATTGTGCAGCCAATAGCGTTTGCATAAATCAACTGAAAGAATGGCAATATAAATATTTTAAGTTGACTTCATGCCGTTCCCGACTTAGAGAAAATTGAAAAATGTCAGTAGATATACGACAGAAGTTATATTATCCTTTTTCAGTCTCTCTCATACACACACACACACACACACACACACACACATATACTCACGCGTGGTATTATATATACATGGTGATTATTTTAAAGGCAAATGATAATGAGTATTTTCGCGAAAAGTATCTTTTGTGATAGACTGTTAAGTCTTGGAAATATTTTTTTTTCATTTAATTTAAATTCATTATAATAGACACCATTTTTTTTAAAAATAATACTATCCTTTTTACAATTTGTATTGTTTTAATTCTTAATTTTTTAAATTACAATGTATATTTTAATTTCATATTCGGTAGTAGAATATTATTCTGAAAATTTTTAATACTCACAAATTTCAAACGAGTACCTACCTAGTAAATAGGGCAGGTAGTTTTTAAAGTTTCGATGAGCAACGAGTATTATTAAATTGGAACGAAATTTAACGAGGAATAACCCATGTACCGAATAATTTTAAATTTTTCTCAAAAAAAAAAAAAAATGAAGAATACTTTTCGAGAAAATTAATTGAAATATACTTTTGAAAGAATCGCTTTGTGTGTGTATCTATGTATGTAAATACATTCACGTATTATTATGTATTATAGTTTATTATATTATCATATCTTGCAGACGGCCGTAAGTTGGTGAAACCGTTCTGCTACAACGTCCGGCTTCCAGAGCGCACTATGCTGTTCTACAGGGTTACGCTTCTGTTTGTCCAGTACCTGGTACCTGTCGTCATCATAACGGTTGTGTACATGCGAATGGCATTACGACTGTGGGGCTCACACGCTCCGGGAAACGCGCAGGACAGCAGAGATGCGAACTTGATGAGGAACAAAAAAAAAGTACGTGCCCGATGCATTAAAAACAAAACAATATTTTTCAATATTACGAATACCTCTGAGAATATCATGATGGTAGCTAGTCGGTGGCTAGAGTCGCTTGACTCGATCCAGACAATAAAGATAATAGTTTTGCACCTCCCGTGTACTATCAGCTGTGATTCTGTGAACACCTGATTACAATGACACAGTTTATCGATCACCGGAAATTACACAGACTCCGCTCTTCAAAAGTTATCGAGTACAATCAAAATCACTGTTAGAATATTATGCGTTTGAGTAAAAATTTCTCAGTCGCGAAACTCCTCAAGTTCCATATCGAATCTTTATATATCTATACAAATACTGTAACTATACCATAACTTTCCTGACGAAAAATCTATGCATATATATTTTATTGTTTTTATTTTTATCTAACCATATGCGTAGATTTTTTTGTCATGGATGTTATGATATAGTTACACGATTTTTTTATCTTACGAAAGTATACGAAACATTGGTTTATTAACATTTTAATGATATATTTTCGTTTTAGTTATTTAATTAGGTTTTAATATTAAAAACTAGGTACAGTAGGTTAGGGAGCAATAGTATTAGGTACCCACTTTGCTTTACGATTGTATAGGAGTCGAGTGTACCTTCCATTGATAAAGTCACTGTGATGGATCATGAATGTGTTCAATTAGAATTTTCAATGAAAATGAATGTGTTCATTTTATACGAAAAATGATTTTGGATGGAGACGGCATCTAAGGTTCTTTGTTTTTAGGTATAGGTATATCTTTTCATGAACATATCTGAAAGTTAGAATATTATAAATAATAGAGCAACATTTTTAGTAATTATTGATAGTAGTTTATTTCATTAGTCCCAATTTATATGCGATCTACGATGTATTTCACAGTACTTACGGATAATGGCCACATTAAGACTGGTGTGCCTGTGGGCTTTGGTTTTTCAATTTTAATTACGGTTCCAACCGGAAAATGAAGATAGAATAAAATTGCCTTTGTTCTTTTGGTGCAACTTTACTCGAAAAAGAAAAAAAAGAAAAGTAGATTCGGTTATCACGGGTTAATATGATAATGAATCATGTAACCGTATGACCACTTCAGCCGGGTCAGGCTTAATTTCTGCTTTATATAAACGAGTATCTGACGAGGCATAGATATGTGAAATTCAATATCAAACTATCAATTCAATATCAGTTTAAATTATAGTGGCCAGAATTATGGTAAATTTTTCTGAGTATTGGCCATAATTTGTACAAGTGCTAAGTTCTTAAAATGATTTAAATTAAAAAGTAAACAATATAAATATAACATATTTAGAGTAATCCTTACACTATTGAGTTCCTGTCATGTTTGATTATTAATGGTACAATATATTCGATTGTTTGTAACCATTGGAGTAAACGGAGCAAAACTTTTTTATTTTTCACATGTTTTTGATAGGAGGGCGGTAGCTAGATGAGAAATTGTGTTTATTTGTAAATTTTGGTTTTAAAGAATTGGCCTTCGGCACATTTCCATTTACAAATATTACGTGCTCAGACTAAATAAATGAAGTAAATAATTGAAGTCTTGTAGATTGTTTAATAAGTATTACAATTTTTGTAGCTTAATTCAATTATAATTTGTGCAAACGATTTTATTTAGTTCAGGAATTACAACATATACATAAAATAGATAAGTAATGAATTATAGTTTTCTACATTTCCTTAAACCATAAAAACGTAAAAATAACTTTTACAAAATTTTTTTTTCTTAATATATAGTAAAATCTATAATAGAAGTATGGAACTATTAAAACATTCCAAGAATGTAGGTAAAGTCAACTTTATTAATTAATAATGATATATAGTGTATGAAAAAGTATGGTGTTTGAAACATCAGTGAAAAAAGGTTACTTTGATTTTTAATAGTAAAAAAAATTTTCCCCACTTAGTTAATATAATAAATTGTAACTTTTAAGTATTTGACTTCTATTTAAATTTTAATTCATATGAATCAATTATTTTTGAAACACATAAAACAAGACGTATGGCTCTAATATTGAAACAATCATCTTATTATTATAGTTGCATCAATTTGATTTACAAATTTAATTTCTTAATATATTTTTGACGTTTAATTAAATCGTATTATCTGAATAGGAGAAAATCAGAAACATTATTTTTATTTAAGCTCAGCTTACTAGTTTATAAAAACGCATCTTGAAAGTCGACAAGACCCGTCACTTTCAACACGTGGGGAGAGGCTCTAAGTATGATGGTGTAAAAAATGCACACTACATATTATAGAGAATCAAATGGAAAAATTACGCACGGTGTTGGATTTGAATGAGAGTGAAGCGCAAACACTGAGCCACCGTATCAATTAAACCTCGATGCACGCATAAGTGGATCGATGAAGACGTCGTCGAATATGTCACCACGACTGAGTCTCGTTTATATCTTCCGATATTTTCTATATTGTGTACGTAACGTGATATAATAGAATCGATTATTTATGAAAGGGGTTGAATAAGAAAAATAAAACCGTCAGGGAAAATGCATTCATCCCTATACTGAGAATCTAAAAAACTATACCAGCACTTAGCACTCCATTCATAAAATGTATAGCCTGAATTGATATAATTTTATTATAATATACAACCAACTATATCATAGGAGTTTAACTCCTTCCAAAAGTTCACGATCCGCCTGTACGACAGTATATTATGGACACCGCTCTATCAGTGGCGTGGCGAAGGTATTATTTTGGAGCAATTAATTAAGATATTAAATAATATAGTATAACTATTATAGTGGTAGGGCAAAGTAGCCGTATGCGGTTAGTCTTTAGAAGAATGGGTGGTTGTTAAGTAGCGATTTATTATATTTACAATAATTGTTATCTAATTGATGCGTTTTGTTCGTGTACGTACATTGTTTAATAGCTCCCTGCACCTTTGTAGATGATATTATACGGTAAGGATTGGGCACTTTCCTTTTAGGCTGCTCCACACCAATTTAAATTTAATTCAACGCAACTGAAGTGTGCTATTACTGCGATTACATACTCGTTTAAAATGATAGCCCTTTGATGTCATTCATTTTAATACTGCAGCAGACAATGAACGCTCTTGAAGCACCTATAGCTGTTGTAGGTAGATGTGTACGGTTTTAATATAAATTTGTAACTACCGCTACAAAACGTTAATAACATTTTAGCAAAGATAAGTTGTGTAAACTTTTGACAATAAATCATTTTTTACGCCACAAGAAAATAATTTATACTGTATCATGTAAAATTTAAAATCTCATTATTTACATGGTTCGATTTATTTTTAGTAGGTACACAAACTGTTTAATACATATACTACTTGGTACATGGAAGTATTGAAGCAATATATTTTGTTTTCTAACAACCGTTGATATATTATAATATTATACAACGAAAAGTAATAATGAATGATAACATTCAGTTAACGAAAAACAAACCTAACTAGTATAAATGAAGTATTTCTACTCGTTGTTGGGTGAATGTGTAATCTTTCATCGCCAAACAACATATTTAAATCAATTATTTATTTATTACCTATGATCTTATTTTTAACTATGCGTCTCGTGCAACTACATTTTCAATTATTTAATGCATTCTTTGAGTACTTTTGTTATGATACAAACAAAAATATTCTTTTTTACTAACAATAGTCTGCATAGAAGCAGATAGTTTTATCAAATATTAATATGTAACAAAATCAAAATTCAAACCTAATATCGTCGAAATAAATTATTCCACCTACTTTATGCATTCGTCTGTTGAGTTTTTTGAATGCATTATAGATATAACCCATTGTTGTATTATACACAACGTATATTTCATTTTTTAATCTATAAACATTGTCCAGGAAGTTGCCGACTACCATTATAACTGGTTAACATACAATATGGTTGTGTACTCGTATCACTTACACCCAGGGTGACACGCGCTAAACCTGTTATCGTCTTACCCGACTTGTTCAAAATAAGCTAACGATTATCTCCGAAATCACCGTTAATTAATACAATTTAACACGGGTTTCGGTCTGAAAAACGTATTTTACTATCGATTCAACATAAAATAATTCACAAGTCGGTGTAGCGATTGTACTGCTTGTCCGCGTACACCATTGCACACACACTTGCCGAACTCTACGACGACACGTACGTGACTCCCTCGTATATTCGTCATGAATCAAAATCAAAATTACAATGGCGAAATAATAGTTGTGTGGTCTTAGCACATTATCTATGCATTGGTCTGGCCTACATTAATAACTTAGTTTGCTAAACCCTTATTATTATAGTACTACCCATGCCTTATACGATATTAATTTAAATTACTGTCTGTGGACTGTGGTATACGACAGCATAATATTATTTTAGGTTTTATGAGAAGACCCAGCGAGAAGTTGAGCACTATTATTATTGTATGGTATTAAAGTTCCTTAATAGATTACTGAACAAGTAAAACGTCTCACATTATTTGATAAGGCTTCACATCGCTATCTCAAAAATCGATAATATCAGAAATAACTCGATTGGTCTCTATATTTAAATTTTAGAATTATAATTATTGTAATATTGTATGATTAATTATTGAGTTTGACATTATGATAGCCGTTTCCAATACAGAAAAAAAGTAGTAGTTATTACGCCGGTTTTCGATAAGTTGCCGGTGTGTAATGTACTAATATCTAGTGGGTACAACTATACCATCAACCAGAATATCCACTGAAAAAAAAAACGGTTACGACTGAATTATATACCATCGTCAGGTATAATATTATTATATTGGATATTGTTGAGCTCTGTACGTTTATGTTCATTGTCGCATATTAAGGTTTTTTTTTTAATGTTGAAAATATTTTTTATACTCGGCCAAAAAGCTTGACAATATAATACCAAACTCAAAAATATTTGTTCTTGCAGAAGTTTAAAAATATCAAAAATACATATAAGGCGCACTTTTTAACGG